CCTAAGCCTTTAAATAAATCATTGTAATCAGACATCTGAATCGATCTAAGACGTTTGACGAGACCCATCATTTCACACGATTCGCGCCCCAATACACTGCTACAACACATGTCGGCTATGACAAATTTTAAATCATAAACCTTATCTCTAAAATACCATGGCAAAACACAGACTCCCTTAGTGGGTATCACGTTGTGAGTGTACGATAATAAAGGAATGTCTTTCTTTATTATCATATCCTCGCTGAACCCTAACTCCAAAAATCTTTTAAAAGCTAGCACATTACAATCAGCTCCAGTATCTAACTTAAATTTTTCTTGTCCACTTGTGCAGCATAAAACTTGAAACCAATCTTCCGAATTATTTATCTTAGAATCGATTATTGATACGTAGAAGGCTCCGCCCGTGTCCGCATCACTATCATATTTGTCGTTATGATCACACTCGACCTCATATACACGCTGGACTCTGTCACGAGCCCCACTTTTAAAAGATTGAATAGACTCACACATGCGCGCGAAGTGTCCTCTGTTACCGCATACATAACAGCTGACCAGTTGCGCTGGGCAACGACCCACGCACAGCGCGCGCCCGCAGCCCCTACAGGGCGGCGCGCGCGCCCTCGGCAACTCGCGATATGCGCTACGAGCGCCAGTGCCGGCGCCACCTCGCGCGGCTGCGTTGTGACCTCGGGCGCCGCTGCCAGTCCCAATCACATGCGACCGCGAGAAAGCTATCCCGCGGCGGCGACTCACTCCTACACTGTCGACACACGAAACACCCTCACAATTACTGGCTCCGTGACCAGCTATTTGCCGTCCGCTTTCTTGTGAAACTTCCTCGGCTTGACAAATTTTTATCGCCTTATCGAGTGTGAGTTTCTCAGTACGTAACAGCCGGTCCTTGACCGTGGCCTGTCGTACCCCACAAACAATTCGATCCCTAATCAAGCTGTCTTCTAAAGTTGCAAACTCGCAATTTTTGCTAAAAAGACGCAATGCAATCACGTACTGTTGAATCGATTCCCCTTCCTGTTGGTTGCGGGTAAAAAACTTGTATCTAGTTAGGGTTACATTTGTTTCTGTTCCGAAATACTCATCAAACTTTTTTAACAATACGTTGACGTCATCGCGCTCCTTGTCACTCGCGAACGTGAATGTTTGATAAATGTCGAAGCCATCTGACCCTATTAGGTTTACTAACAAACTAGCTTGAACACTGGCAGCTTCTTTGTCTACGCCTGAAGCCTTCACAAATAACTGGAATTGTTGTCTCCACTTTATCCAAGCCTCTGCACGGCTGGCCGGCCCCCCGGCGCCGTCCATATTTAAATCCGAAGGCGGTCGAGCGTGTTCCATTGTAATCACCTGTTTATAACACTTAATACGCACGAAAACTTGATCACAACCACCAACGATCACTTTTCTCACTTGAAATTACTTGTTTCACAACTTTTTCGCTATATTTATGCCAAATAATAGTAAACCGCTGTCACCATGTTATGTTTATAATGAAACGACCGAGTGCGGGACAACAACTGGTTTATTGTGTAGGAACTTATACCTACCCTCACAACAATATTATATTACAACAATAGCGTTTGACATATCACACCTGTGTACCATATGTCCACTGTAATAAATGGTGTGCAAAGAGTATTATATATCTATCTATATCAATTAATTATAAATACTACTATTAGATTAGCAAGCACGGCATGGCTAACCCAATACAAAAGTTTATTGTGACTAACAATAAATATTTTCCTGAAATAACACAAGCGTAAAAGTATTGAAATGACAAAAGCTTTTGTAAAAATTCATATAAATCCGCATTTTGAAGCTTTGTCAGAGATTAATGGGGTATATTCAACCTTTTTGGACATAAATCCTTATGAGTTGTCTGCAATCTGCGCTAAAACTAGATTTTTATATGGATACTTTTTCCAAAGCGCAGAGTTCAGATCCTGGAGGGGCGCTAAAAAACAAAACAGCATAGAACTTACAGAGGACAGGCGCATATTTTATAGTCTTTACATGATTTAAAGAATTATGGTCCTAGAGATCCTCAAAGATACGGGACAAAATGTTTTGTATCCTTATATGTATTTTTTAATGTACTGACATTAAAAAATAAGTATCTAAGTATCTACTTAGCGTTTTCACTCTTGTAAATACCATTCCGTAAATGGTAAATAGATAATAATCATTTCACCGAAACGAAATTCCCATTCCAATTGTTTATGTTTCATGGCTGTGTAGATAAGCGGTCGATGGAATTACCTAACCCAATGATCCGTGATTCAAAATTAACAAACATTGTGTTGGGGATTAGAAATAGGTAGTGGTGGAAACAATTAGAGATAATTTTATAGTACCTACAGTATATTAATGTATCAACGACGTTTTAGTCTATCTAATAGAATTCTTTATCACGGCCGTATTGGTAATTTATTTTCAAACCAATTTAACTATAAAGATTGAGATTTATTGATAGTTGGCGTGTTTTAGTTTGACTATTATTAATAATAAATTCGCAATTACTAACGACAATTACTTGTCGTTAGTAATTGTTAGGACGTAACAAATACCTATTTCGACTGAAACGACTTCTGACTGATTTTAATGGACTCCTTGTGGTATTTTAATGGTTTTATTTATGATGAAACCATTAGATATTGTTACTTTTATACTTTTTTTCGCCAAATTTCGCAATGCGTCCTTTAGTTGTGATGATGAATGACTTCTTTATCATGGATTCATTTATTTTAAAAAATCTGTTACGAGTACGAGTAAGTCGGGCAGTTTTATTCAAACGGTTTGCTCTTTGTAATTACATACGATTGACTCACAAGTCTCTCATCAAGCATTGGCAGTCTCCTAACTGTTACCCTTCTCAAATTATACTCAATTGCAAATTTCTTTCTCTTCTTCTCCTCTTCTTGTATTCTTCCGAAAACAGCCGATGGAACGAGCTCTTTCAGTTGAGCTTTTACCCACTCAAATAAATTGACTTAGAGGGAAGCTGGCTGTGAACATTCAAGCTAAATTTAATACTGCGGAGCAGCCTCTCCTAGTAGTTTTAAATGTGTGTCTAAAATGTGAATAATATTCATTCTCAAACATCAAGATGGCAATCTACTCAAATTATAGGTATACACTACGGGTTTAACTTTTTAATGCAGATAGCCCACTGCGCTCAAGTTATCAGTGTTAGATAACCTGTTATTTATACAAAGCAGATAAAATACTTTATCTGTATTTAAGCATTATTTTTTAAAACTACTACAAAATCTAAATATGCTTTATATATGTGTAATTAACAAAGATAAGGTGTAAGCTTCTAGTAATAATAACAAAAGTTGCCTCGTCATCGTCTTTAATGATTTATCCTATTTGCTCGTCATTCAGTATTAAGAATAGGTTATAAAGACGAAATCGTTCAAGCTGTGTATTCGTCGGACACTCTAAAAGGGTTTAAATGTTTTCTAGCTTCAAATCCGGTTTCTAATCCGATAGTTTTCAGGGAGAAACAGTTTAATCGCATTGCTATCTTTTGACTTCTTGAACTCAGATTTGCAGAACTCTAATAAATCTTTCAATACTAATTTCAATACCATTTTTGAAAGTTTTTTAGTATCCATAAACGTAAACTGGTAGACATTATTAATGGAATCATTTTTTTCTGTAACATCAATCTCTTTCTCTTAAAACTATACGTCTTCTTTTTATTTCATTGTATTTGAACTATTTAGAAGTGACGTATTTTATTCTGCTAGGTATTTTACAGTGTGTATCTATGAAAATATTTAGTTAATAATTCTTGAATAATGTGGAGCTGTTAACAGTTAGGTACTTATGTAATTAACCTAATCATCAATTATCACAACTCGGTAGTATTCTTATTTAGGTATATTTAAATATTTTCAGATTAAACAAGGCAATAAAAGTTGCAAATATTTTATTCAGAATAACATGCTCTTGTATGTCTAATGTAAACAAAGTTTAATGAAGCGATTAAGCCAAAAAAATATTAACGTTGGACTGAATCCCGGCAATAGTGGCAAAGCGTTTTATTAAAATTGTTTTTTTATCTCAAATAGATTTATTTGAGTACTGATATTCAGAGCTATTGCGATTTCTCTAATAAAGACTTTAACCATCAAAAAATATCTATACATGAATATATTTATATTATCTTCCTTAAATTTTTGAACTAGAATAAAAATCTTGTTTGCTTTACCCAAGAAAATCTACGAAACCCTACATACCAATTTTGTTATGCCTTCAATTTTCTTGTGTAAAGTTTTCACTCAGTGCAAGAAAACTTTAAACGTGAACTACTTCAATCTTACTCCCAATTACGGTCGGAGACTTGCGATGCTCCTTATCCTGGCTCAATCGCTCTTTCTGACTTCCCTACCCTCTTTTTACAATTTACATTATCCCCTTTTCCTGTCTAAAACGGTCTCGTCAATCATAAAAGAAACAAGCCAAAACCTTAAGCAGTTAACACATTGCGTCAACGTCAAATAAAATTAGAAAGTAGCCAAGAAGAGTATGGAGAGTACGGAGAGTAGCCTAGAGAGAATGATAAGTATGGATAAGCAAGGTTCCAAACTGTACTCGACTCTTACCAATTAATGTTCTGTTAATGGGCTGTTCTTCAGCTACATACATCACTGAAAGCCACTAAGTAATTATATTAGGGTTGAACGAACTTAGATCACTCTGTGTATGAGGCGTACGACCTTTTGCTAAGGTAGCTTACGAGGCAACAGTATACACCAAAACTGCCTGAATAGCATTGTTTAAGAACTTTGTTACATAAATTTGATTACATCGTGTAATAAAATGCAATATCTCTCGTATCGGTATTGTTACGTCAGTGATAAGTAAATTCACCTTGATGATTTTGTAAATGCACACAATGTTCTTCCAAGACTTCTTCAGAAAGAAACCGATAACTTTAAACTTACGATTGCTTTATTTTTGTTCCAGGTGGCGTTCTTAAGCGAACTCAGATTGACAACGAAGCCTGCATAAACCGTTCCCTATTTCAATTGTTTAGCTGTTACGATTACTTAATATTGCGTTATAATTATGTGTTGGGAAATGATTACTGTACGTCATATAGCGTAGATAATGTTTGAGAACGTAGCATTGATACCCACGTGGTTTATAATGGCGTGGCTAGGCGCTTGTCTACTATTCAGTCCATTAGCCATATTTTTCGTCATGTGTCTACCACAATTACCCCTTCTAGTGGTTAGAAGGGCTTGCCATATACCGTTTGAGTATATTTAACATGTGAAGGGAAGTGATTGATAGTCATGTATTGCTAGAATTACGTATAGTGATAAGTTTGTAAAAAGTGTAAATATTTTTAATGATTAAATGTATATTTCTAGAACTATTTCCGTTTTATTTTATACTAACAGCAAAGTAAACATTATAATTAAAGTAACAACGAAGCTATTCACAGGTTTTCGCAAATAGATTCCAAATGTGAAACAACAGTTCAAATAACTTACCAACATCAACAAAAAAGTACTAACGGATTAACAAGTTTTTGTTAAAGAAAAAGGGATACAAAAAAAATTTGAAGCGTGCATTTTTTGCACAATTTTTACAGATCTACTGGCTCGATAATAAATGTTTTTTTGCGGTAGTTGGTATTTGTTCGAAGTGCTGCTAAGGGCGGATTATGCCTAGTGCGTAAATTATGCAGTACTCTAATATGAATTACAATCTGCTCGCGTCGTGTAGCTGACCCGCCCCTCCTGTTGTCTGACAAGGCCTTCAAGAAAATTATTTATATTAAACCCCACTTAATTCTTTCTCATTCTATACATATACACTTTTGATTTTAATTATTATTGTTGTACATAGTTACTGCCTTCATCAATGAATTTCAATTGAGATAAATGTAAGACTACGTCATCTCTCATAACTGTGCAAAGCTAATAATAGATAATAAAGTTTTATTGAAATGACCGTCCATGACCAGACGGTTGTTCTAGAAATCCAGACATTTATTTGTAAAGCGCCGCACTATCACTAACTTCTTCAAAAGTAAGGTTAACCTTGGGCAAGTTTACTTCAATCAAAGTTTATAGCCAGTTCGAACACAAACTACCGAAATCAGATTACTGTATTAATATATATATAACCTATATAACCTCACACATCTCACACACGGCCGTCTGATCCCAAACTAGGCAGAGCCTGTGCTATGGTAACCAGACTGCTGATAAACATACTTATATAGTTTTAAATACATACAAATTATAGATAAATTACACCCAGACACAGAACAAATGACCGTGCTCATCACACAATATATGTCCTGGGTGGGAATCGAACCCACGACCTCCCGGCTTAGCAGTCAGGGCCACTAACCACTAGACCAACAGGCCCGTAATATAATAATTCAAAGGCATGTATGTTATTACCATCAATACTATGTTATTTCAGTTCTTGTCATATCCTAAAGTAAATAATACAAGGTATTGTAAACAGTATTAACACACTCGAATAAATAGCTACTCTTATTATTACGTCATAGAGCACAAACTCAGAGACATCATAGAGTACAGGCTTCGTACTACATATATTGTGCGCGGAGGAATGTCATTCTTAAGATACTTAAAACGTGTATCTAAAAGATTTACAAAAATCTAAACTCCAGTCCTGGTAAGAAATGTCTATAGAAAGACAATTTTATATCTAGTAGATTTACCAAAGCTACAATTTTCACATATTTGATTACAAGTTTAAATAGTATACAAAAACAGTTACAAGAATCTGCAAGGGCTCAGTACAAATGCTAAACTGTCGTGGTGAAAATCTATAGAAAGATAGACTTCAAGTTAGACTTGTCATTGTGTTGAAAAATATGTCAAAGTCGGTTCAGAAAATGTTCCTACAAGACCACACATTTTTGTAGAATACTGTATAAATTTACGAGCATACAGTCAACGTCACAAAATGTAAAAAGAAATAAGGACGAGGTATTTTATTTTGTTATGTAAATTTTGAATAGATAAGGATGAGGCTACAATGTAATATTACGTAAGATAATTTCTGGACATTGCCTCAAAGGATTTCCTTCATAGGTTATTTATGCAACTCAAATGAAAATAAGTTGACTTTCGTTTACAAAATTCATGACATCAATTACGCTAAGAGAAAGATTATAGTAAAGCTAGCAGGGAGTTTACTTCTTGTGGATTGACAGGCTATTAGATCTCAGATAAAATATGCTGTCAACATCTGTACAAAATGCAGGGATAAATAATTTTTTCAAAAATTCAAAATTCAAATGAGTGTATGATAAAACCGTCCCACCTACTAATATCTCCATATAAATCACATCGACGATCGTCGATATATATATATAGATATTTATACATAAAATTATTTTGTATATATGTATGTATATGTTCGCCTATGTCCAGCTACTTTCTAAGGCCTATGTCCATCAGTGGATTAACAAAGGCTGTTGATGATAATGGTAGGTAATGTGAGATTTCTTATACCTGCTGAGATGTTTACGTCATAGAAAGCATAAGAATGAGAAGATCAATTGCAATCTCTGGTAGCCTATCTCACTTTGAACAATCGTGTTGTTACTATATGGAACAAGCTTCCAGAACATGTAGTTTAGTGACCGCGAAATCAGTAAACATTTTAAGTGTCACGTTGATAAATGGTTGGAAAAATACAAGCCACTAAGAAGAGTACACCAGTAGTTTAGGAATAACTAAATAAACTGACCGTAGTAAAACTTATTAATTAAAATGGCAAATTATAAGTATTACGTTTCTTTGATAAAGAAACTGTTGTCATTAATTAATAGAGAAAAATATCACTAATTGACCTTGTACCAGCCGTACTAAATTGACGGTCCAAAGTACGTAAAACATACACAGAGTTTAACAGAATGTAAGGAGCTCGTTTTTTGAACAGTAGAAAAAAATTTTATCCAATTAAACAATATTTGACTGATGGAGCATTTCAATTTAAAAAAAAACCTAATTCTACTTAAAAGGATGATGATCATCGCAGTATCAATATTGTTGTATTACACATGCACATAATTAACATGCTGTTATTACTCGGAATCGATTGCCTTCTTAATTTCACCAATAGATTCATAATTAAACTAGCATATTGCATCGAATGCAACAAATAGTTATTGAGCTCTACAAGGTCATCTTAAATTTCTTTAAGTTTAATTTAAATATAGTGTATGTAATAATTAGTTCTTCAAAGCTTAAATGAGTACCTATGAGATGAATAATTCTTATCGGACTAGCCTTAGAGCAACTATCTACCTACCAGTCACGAATTGGGATATAACTCTAAATACTTATTCATTGGATTACATAAAACAGTAAACCACTAAGTAAAGGAATTATTATATCTACACACACCTATAAAATGCAATAATAAAAAAACGTCATATCTATTATCTCTGCATATTTTTATCTGATGAAAAAACAAATTCCCGATAAAAAGGTTTTTGGTAGGTAACTGAATCAGAGGCCTGTTTCTTTATTCATCGCCTCAGTCGTCGCCGTTATACATAAAACAATGATGTTTTTGTTGTGTTGAATGTATAGGAGATCTATTTTTTCTTGAATACTCGTATTCCATAAGTCGAACAGTCGAACACATTAAACAACCTATTAGTTATATAAACGACATTAGTATTTGTCTCTGTCTTAACAACGGGCATAGATATTATAAACTTTTTTTTGTAATTTTAGCGTTAGCCTACACTACACAAAACGCGTACTCACATCGAAACATAGCAACAAGCAATTAAATGTTGAACATAATAACCTGTCTCTTTTCTTCTAAAACTTAAAATTAATATACTAAAAGTATTGTGAAGGTTGTCAGCTAACTAACCTCTTTTAAGAATTAGATTGAAACAAAAAATGCTCTAAATGCTCTAAAAAAATTTGAAAAAGAGCCATCTATGAACAGATAAATGAACTATGTAAAAAAGTTTCCCTAAACATCGGCTGGTCAGCTGAAAGTAACGTTGCTGACTTAGTTCTTTCACATTTCACTAGATGACACTTTGCAAAGTAAAATATTACATTATTTGAGTTGTTAAACCGTTTAAGCCAGCGAAAAATTGATTAAATGATTATATTTCTTTAGTAGGTTCCATTTCTATTACCTACGCTTGTGATGATTAAGAATTCAAGCACGAAAAAGCGCTACAAAATGTTTTAATGAAGTCCTTTAAATTTAAACAACAATAAACTATAAAATATTTAAATTTTATAAACTAAATTTATTTGTGTACTTTTAGTACACAAATAAATTACAAGGTCATAACAACTAATAACACAAAATAAAGATTTTGCCAGTTATTCCAGCAACATTAATAATAAAAAAGATCAAATTTTTGAAGCACAGATTATTAAAACGCCCAAGGCTTATCCGGCAAAGAACTTAAAATATAAATATATCATCATTAAAATAGGATATATAGAAGAAGCCCGGAATATATTCCGTAATTATATCTAGCAGTATCGCTTAGTAATATTGGTTAGCTGTCAAAGGCATTTTTCAACTCTCCTCTGAAGTTTCATCTGAAATATTGATGATCCCTATTCACAATGTCGACAATACAATTCTACTAATATTTACTTTCTTATGTAAATATAATCTAACAGTTCAATGTTTAATACCTTTTTTTCTGTGCGGAAATCCCCCCAGATATCACCCACCGGTGGCTACTCGAACCGACCACCACCGTGCCTATGTGTCGTACTCGAACCGACCACCACCGTGCCTATGTGTCGGACTCGAACCGACCAAAAACCGCACGCCTTATTTTATTGCAAAACATGGGACTTACGGTATAGAGTGTAAAACAAAAAGACGGGTACGCACGCGATGGTAAATGACTATCGCCGCCAATGAACACCTGCTACTCATAAGTTAATACTCAATCATTTATTGCATGCCGTAATGTACATAAATGATCTT